AATTCTGGGAGTTGAAGTCCACTCATCTTAAAGTGGCCAAGTTTGGACAATACTGCCTTAGCCTCTGACAATTATGCTGTTCGAAGTTGCTTTGTTGACTCTTCCCACTGGGTGATAGAGCTGCTTGTCTGCATGCAGTTAAGGAAGGCGCACGCACAAAGCTAAACAAGATGTGTACAATGGGAAGGTTATAAATTCACGTATTTCTTCATTGCATGATGAACTGTGAAATTAGTATTGTATAAAAACAATGATTTTATTTTCAGAAGCAGAAATACCCTATTAGAAATCTAATCATATGAATAGTTCTATTAGTCATAACAGTTAAATTCCATTTATGTTTTCTTTCCTTTTCTATTAGGCTTTGTTTGCCAACTTCCCAACATCCAGTATCAGTTCTACAACCTTGTCATCTGGTTCTTGTAGTCACAGAACATCAAGTTCCATTTCTAGAGTCCAGAATGCACCTAGCCTGCACAAAGTGGTGTCATCTCATAGTGCATCTTCACATTTGGTCCCTAAGCCCCCAGCCAGCCACAGACAAACATTTATCAGGAAAGTAGCATCTCAAAGAATGTCCAAGTAAGTTTATATTCCTTAATCAGAAGTAGCCTTAAAATTTTAAATGAATAAAATTAGCTTGCTAGTGTTCCTGACTTGTTCTTGTGGACATAATGATGTCTCTACACTGATCTAATGGGCCAAATTAGATATGGGATTTGTCCTACAGGATTTTAACAACAGATAATATGGTTCATTTCCTGACTATGGTGGACTATTTTTATGACCTTTGCATAAAAGTCATAAGTCAAAGACATAACTGAATTTTTAAATGCTTGAATTTTTTGTACATTGTACATTGTAAATTTGTACATTACACATTTCTAAGCTTTGGTTTTAACATATTGTAATAATTGCTTTCTGAAAGGTATTGAAATAGTTTTATTTAATTATGTATCTGTATTTATTTATTCAAATGCTTTTAAGTACTTCGATTGTATGACTCTAAGTTACTGTTTATAAAATTATCTTTTTTTTTAAAATCATTAAACTGGAATCTGACTTATTTTCTTTTACCTTTAGTTTTATGGCTTTATTACAGGTAGTCCTCACTTAATGACCACAATTGGGACCAGCAACTCCATCACTAAGCAACATGATTGTTAAGCGAGACATCACGTGACCGTGACTTGCGATTCTACTGCTATCTTCTATTGTGGGAAGCCGGCTATGAAGCAGGCAAATAGCGATCATGTGACCACATGATGCTGTGACGGTCATAAACATCCAACAGTTGCAAAGCACCCAAATCTGAATCATGTGACCATGGGGACACTGTAATGGTCATAAGTGTGAGGATTGGTTGTAAAGTTACTTTTTCAGCGCTGTCATAATTTCAGATGGTTGCTAAACAGGGCAGTCATTAAGCGAGGACTACCTGTAATGTTCTTCTTGTCTGTTTCCTAGACTGAATAGGCTCAGTCTTTTAAATTTCTCATTATACAGATGCCTTCCTAAGTTTACTGTAAATTGTGCCTCCATCTTTGGAGATGTTAAGCTCTGTTATAAATCTTTGTCTACTTGTTCTTGCCCAATATCAGTGTAGGTAGTCCTCGACTTATGACCATTTGTTCAGTGACCATTTGAGATTAGATGGCGTTGAACAAAGAGGCTTACGACTGGCATCTGAAGTTATGGCCGTTACCTTGCCCCCGTGGTCATGTGATCAAAATTCAGGTGCTTGGCAGCCCGCCTGCACTTATGACCACAGGGGTGCTTCAACTCCCCCCACCTACCTGTCTTCCCCCCCATCTCTGCCCTTTTGGGTGTCATGCACAGTGGCGGTAGCACTGGGGCTGAATTAGAGGCCCAGGGCCTTCAGCAGTCTCAGCTGGCCTCCACTGTCCCCAGGCCTCTACTTCAATACCAGCACAGCCAGCATCGCTGCTGAGTGCCACCTCAAATCCCACACCACAGGCCAGCCACCCCAGCGCAAAGCCCCTGCTGCCCTGCACTCCACAGGCCATGCCAAGCCCAGGTGACCTTCACCATTTTCCTCCCACTGCTGACGAGGCACACCTGGCCTGCCTTGTGCGAGGCACTTGCTGGTCAACCAGCCCTTCTTCCGGAGGCCACTTACACCATTCTCCAGACTGCTCACCCCATTTCCACGCTGCTCAGAAAACCTTTGGAAAGACTTTGAGGTCTAAGGTCGCACTATTGTAGAACGACAGGCATGCCCCATTCTCGTGATGCCTTGGAAGACGCAATGCCTTGGAGTAGAGGCCTGGGGGCGGTGATGGCTGGCTGAGACAGCTGAAGGCCCCGGGTCTCTAATACTGCCTCAGTGCTGCTGCCGCCGAGGAATGCTGCTGTGCAGAGCACCCAAAGGGGCAAAGACGGGGGGAGATAGGCGGGTGGGGGGAGTTGAAGCATAGGCAAGCACGGCAGGGCAGGAGAAGCGTGAGGTACTCGCCTAACAATGGTGCCGTCCTGACCTAATGACCACAACTGGGGCTACTGGAACTGCTGTCACTAAGCAGTACAGTCATGTGATGTTTTGGCTTACAACCACATTGCTTAGCAATGTAGGTTCTGGTCCCAATTGTGGTCGTAAGTCAAGGACTACCTGTAGGTGATGGCTCTAGGCCAATCTTCTCTGGAGGCTTGGAAGCTAAGCAGGGTCAGATCTGATTTACCCTTTGATGGGAGACCACAAATGAATTCCATGATTATAGACAGGGAAATTGAAAGAACATCCAAGAAGAAACCAGTGGCAAAGTACTTCATGCAGTTGCCAAGAAAACTATATCTATGTAGTCACTAAGAGTCAAGCTTCACTTGAGGACATCTTCATCTTTAAACTTAAAATTAAGTTTGTTCAGAATTATTAATTCTGAAGCAATTTTTAGTAATAGTGAACAAGTACATAATAGGGAGAGGTCAGGTCAGGAGACCGAAGGCTTGAGAGAACAAGATTTGGCTCAGCTATATTGGGGGAGTATATTAAACTATTGTGTGCACTTAGATTTTGAATGGAGAAGAAAGAACTAAAAGGATATGTTACTACTATTACAGTTTTTAACACTAGCTTCCTTGTAGGTCTGGTGAAATATATGTACCTACAGTAATACCTAGAGGAAGGGACATTTATGCACACCATCCAATTAAGCAGTAAATACTAAACATACTTATCTAAAATATCTCTGTGCTAATAGTTCACTATTTAAATATTAGCTCCAAATGTTTTGACAGTACAGCTTGGGTGGGTACCAGTGGCCCACTGGCTTCATGCAGTCCTGATCTTACACAGAATACTGTATCTCAAGACCCTGCTATCAAAAGCTGATGGCAAGTAATCTATTTTTGGAAGCAGAATTTTTCACTCTTGTGTTTGTGAAACAAGGGTAAAAGAGATCAATTAAGCCTTTCCAACGTTTAATGCAGCTGTTTCCAGTATAGACTTCCAACTCTCCCAACAAAAACTAAAAAAAGGCTCAGTTTGGACAAACCTCTCAGGAGATATCGTATCATTACCATTCTTCTTGTGGCATCAGAGTCCAAAAAACCCACACACTGGATTATATGTACCAGCCACAAAATGGTTGCTATGTTATGGCTAGTTTTGAGGTAGCTATATATATTAAGGATGTTGCACAGATGGGTTCTCTGGAATCATCTGCATCAAGTCCAATATTTGGTGAGTTCCTTGACACTTTGGCATTCTGACAAATATAAGAGATCATCGTGATTGATGGACAGGTATCATACCGAATATAGTTTGGAACCCGGAATACTGGATGAGCTTTATGGGAGTCGTACATACAGTATGTGTGTGTGTTCCTCACAGCATGCCTTGCAACCAAGTGCTTTTAATGCAGTAGCTGATGTTGATGTGGGAAGAGAGAGTAAAAATTCCTAATCACCAATAAGCAAGTCCATTTTGTTTTCTATATAAGAAAAATGTATTTAGTTCAGAGTTGCCAAAACATGCACAGTCCCTATTTTCCAGCATACCCTAAAGGCAACCTGGATCCCACAACCAATTCTTTCAAGCTTAGTTTTATCCAAGCGTGTTTACTATTGGGTTGATAATACAGATGTTCTTCATTGTGATCTCTCACACTTACTTCATCACACCTGTTTAGAACATTAAAAAATCCTAAGAAAGAAATTCTGTGAGCCCAGCCAGAAGGCATCACCAAACTGTTGTATATTTTAACTACTGGTTCTTTGCTATATAATGCAATGTATTTCACAGTACACAAAGAATGTATTCTAAAACTCTGGATTCTTTTGCTAGGGTGAACATTGCAAACATTTCTGCCTTTCACTCACCAGTTTCATTTTTGCCCACTGGATTACTGTATCATTTTTAGGATTTCAAATTACTACCTTTGGTTAAAAAAAGTATCTTTCCTTACTGAAATGTTTCATTATTTTCAAAATTAATTTATTTGATTTATGGCCTTATATTTTAGCTGATGTAGAATAATGGTTATGCCATCTGCTAGTGTTTTGTCTAGATTATATCTGCTCCTTCTGGGGGGAATCAACCTCTCTCATTCAACACTTTCCTAAATATATTGTTTTCCTTAATTCACACTGTTAAGAACTGGGTCACCAGCCAGTGCCAGAAGATGTTTGGCATCATTATATATACACTTTTAGTGGGAGGCATCTGTCCTGGATTTATGCCTAGCTTATCAACCAGTAAATCTTTGTTTTAAGTTAGTGGGCTCTTTCCGGTCAGCCACGTTAAAATTTTCTCTTAGCCATCATGATCCTTTGAGATAAGGTAGGCTGCTAATCAATGTATTTTGAGTCTTCTTTCAGACAAATTTGATAAATACTTGGTAATTTAGCAAATGGACATTCCAATCAAATTGACCCTGTACTGATGTTTTTTTCTCTCTTTCTCTCTTTCTGTTGGGAGAGGAGTGTATGTGTTAGTTCAGGTGACAAGCTGTTTCAGTGAGTTCTGGTGCTTGCTAAGCAATAAGTTGTATTTTTGAAGATGCCGGTGTTCTGTACTCACATATTGGCAAAGAGTATGTTTATCTTTTTGAGATGGGATTGCAGCTCCCTGGACTTAACTGTGTTCTTGTGGTTTCTGTGACATGCAAGAGTGTGGGAAAACTGGAAAAAGCTCGGCATCAAAAATGCACAAAAGAGGGAGGAGGGAAGATACTTTTTTAAAAAAGTTATTCACAATTTCAGAACATAGTCTAATTATCTAAGGATACCAGAAGTCATTCCAGAAATACTTTCTGAGCTGTTCTTCAGGTTCTAGTATAGGTTCCAAGTCTCTCCTTGCCATTTATAGAAATATATAGTGATTTCCCTGTGAGTTATAGAGAAATAGGGGCTCTTAATATATTCCCGCAAAACTGAGGGTTGATCACATAAAAATTCTTCGTGGATTTGGATCATCGATTCATGTATCCTTCTATACTGTCCTAGCTATAAACAGATTCAAAAGAGGAAAAAAATCAAGTTTTCCACATACAGAACAGATTTCCACTGGCTCAAAACACTTCAGAAGAAAGTATTTCCTAAATGCTTTGAGACCATGATTTTCCATTCTTCAGCCATTTAGAACAAATCATTTGTTCTTTGTTTCTGTTTCCAGCTTGTTTTTGAACTCCACCGACAAGATTCCTGCTGCATCTTATGTAATAAAATGTTGGATGTTTCTTATTTCTTTATGCTAGTGTCCTAAAATAGGAACATTCCTACATTTTCTTATATTTTTCATTAATTCTTTACTTTCCCCGAGAAAAAATATGTTGGTGCAAACATGAAACCCCCTTAACAGAAAGGGATTAGGTCCTGCAGAGTAAGGCTATGTAGCACTCCAGATTTGAAGAACAATTCAGAACATGCAGGAGTACTAGCTGCATATCCAGCCTCACTCCAAGTCATATTTTGTTTTCAAATTCAGATCTGGTTTATATCTATCTTAGTAGCATTTTTTTCCCTCAAAGCTATAAGCTCTTTTGTAAGGAATGTCAATGTACAAGAAACTGTAGTTTGGAACGAACTGTCTGGGGAGGATGTTGAATCTCTGACCCTGGCAGGTTCTTGAAAAAAGATTGGACCAGAGAGATTGGCCTATATGGTTCATTTGATTTATTCAAATTATGTTGTATATTTCTGGTAGCACATCATTTAGTGAATTTTGGTCTGCCCTTACACCACAATTCTACATTCTGAATAATTTGGTTTACTCAGAAGAGTGTAATTCTTTCCCAAAATTACTTTCCTTGCTCCTTCCCTTTTGTCATTTTGTCAGAGCTTAACTTATCTATCTCATTGCAATAGTTGAACCAATTTTCAGAGTTCTACAGACATTTCTGAACAGGAGCAATGGGAAGAAAGAATTTAGAATCAGATTACTTCTTTGAACAGTGCCACTATTTCAGTCTCAGCTAGATCCCATTTGAGTTTCAGGGGGAAAAAGGGTTAGCAGAAATAGGAAATACAGTGTTAAATCTGTGCCCACTTTGATGATTATTCAGAAGTCCTTTGGGCCTTGTGCATCTCTCTCCTATTCATTAAAGCTGCCTGACTTTTTTCTGCAAAAACTTGAAAAATTGAAGCCACTGTTTTAAGGAATCCACTCATAAAATCTATTATTTTAAAGCAACAGCAATTTGAGTAGAAGCTTAAGAAAATTTGCTTTGCCTCTTAACTAGTGAAAATAAAATATTTTTTTAAATAGGGAGCTCTACGCAAACTCTGTAGAGAGGATAAGTATTTTAATTTTTTGAAACAAAAATAACATTATTTGGAACCTTGAAATATTTTATTATGAGTCCACTACATCAGATGCACAAACCTGTCAATTATACATACTCATGAGTATGCATATTTATGTTCTGATTATGGGCTAAGTGATGGTGATTAACCTTCACACTTGCTTTCTATCTTCATAATTGTTTCTTTGTTCTCTTGAGAAGTTGACATTTGTAATATGAAAAGGCAGGGGGATGCTGGAATTTTATTTCAAGTTATAGTAACATTTACAATATATCTTCAGAGAGAGAGATGGAGAGAGAGAGATTCCAGAACCTTTGGTTTAGCCCCCTCCCACCTCACCTGCAGGTAGGCTCAGTTACAGGTACTAAATTTGGTTAGTTTAAAAAATGTAGGGGAAAGAGTTCCACATGTTTCTGCTCTTATTGTTTGTTTTGATTTTGACCCTACCCGGTACCTTGTGGATAGGAACAGAGCTGGGGCTCCAGTGATGGGTGAGACAGACTTGGAGAAAGGTACTCCTTTCTAATAGCTTGGATTTAAAAAAAAAAAAAAAACACATACAGTTTTATCCATTTGAGCCAGAAGCCAGGTGAAAGCAGACGTCTTAAGTATAGTATTTTGCAGGTTGACCTTCCTCTGCCTTATCTGGACAGAAAAGGAAAGCACAAAAAGGTCCTGCAAGCCTTCCTACCTTATTGCTTAATATGTAGAATTTAAGTTACCTGTGCACTGCCATTGCTGTGGTTCTTAGCTTTCCTGGAAGCTAAAGTAAGGGTATTGCATAGTACCGACAATGTTCCTTTTCTGTTATGCAAGTGGCAAGTTGTTCCTCAGAAGAACTGGCAATGCAAGAAAGAATGAATCAGTATTGAATTGCTACTTCTGGCATCCTGTTGTTCCTGGCCTAAGTGGGATTAGGCCCATCTTGAATTTCTTCTGTGAGCCAGATGCATCATCATGCAGGAGCATATGTAGATAATTTACAAATGGGAGATGAAGAGTGGCATCATTTGTGCGTCAGGTCTGAAGGGAAAGGGAAAGAGATACTTTTGTGGAGTTCTTGGTGCTATCTGAGCTTGGTTGTTTGCTGACAGGCACGATGATGTTACCTAGTTGGGTAATGAAACATCTGTAAGCAAACAACCCAGCTCAGAGAGCACCAAGGACTCCACAGTTCAACCCTGAGCTACAGATATTCTCTTCTATTGAGATACCTTTGTTTGCTAGTCACATAAGAGCTAAGGAGACAGTTCTTTCACTAGCTCTTCCAGGTTTTTTCCAAGAATAATTTGTCTTTTTTTCCGTTACCATTATTATTTTTTGCCTTCTAATTTTGACATAAAACATTTGCTGCTTTTTCAATACCAGTCTAGGAATAGGTGCTTCCTTCAGCTTGGAAAGGATATACAGGACTTTTAACCTTGTATGAGAGTTGATAAATAAGGAACAAATCAGAATATCCTTTGGGATTTCTGGAAAACCAGATTTTATTGTTTGACTGTTGTATCATCATCATCTACAGCTAAGATCTCTGCTGGACAAAAATATAAAGACAATTCTAGACATGTTGCTTTGAGGAGCCCTATGGGACAATTATAGCTGATACCAACAGTAAGAGTCAGGCATCACACAGGATACATGGCTCAGAAAAAATAGACAAAATAGCATTAAAATTTTTATTTCATATGTAAGACAAATTTCTTATTTCACAGGTTCTAAAAGTATATTCTTATCTCTTTTTTTTCCTTTAACCAAGTGTATCAAAAAGGAAGAACTTGTATGTGTTAATATCAGGACAGATTAAAGATTATATTTGGACATTATTTAGGATTTAAGACATTACTAGCTCATTTAAATAATGAATTGGAATAGCACAGAAGATGGTATGGTTTAGATGTTTCTCTCCATTCCGTATGAAAGGAGCCTCTATAGCTTTTTATGTATCTTTGGGATTGAGATCTGTCATAGGGACACTATAACACAGACCACGAGGCACTGAAAGAACACTGTTGTACTCCTATTTCCAAATTAGGTGTGTATGTGTATGCATAGTTTGCATCTGGTGCAAAACGAGTTGAAACAGTCCTTGCAAAGCACCTTTTTTTTCATTGTGAAAAGTTGACGCTGCGTGGATTGATTTGTAACTTTGCAGCAATTGATTGGACTCGATAGCTTTTCAACCACTTTTAAATGTTATTCTAAACATGGTAGTTTATTATGGAGGGGTTTTAGTCATCAAAGGGCAACTCAGATGTAATATGTGGCTAAAACTGACAGAAAAATGATCTGAGACAGCTATAAATAGGCTGAGTTTTCTATCCATTCAAGTAAAAGAAAATTAAAAGGAATAAGTGATTGATGAAATAGTGAAAAGTAAGAATGAGACCCAAGATGAATTAAGTTAGCTATTTCTTGACCCAGTCATTCTGCTTAAGTCATCTATTTCCCTCCCAAACTCCTTCAAAAGTCCTATGGACCTGGAAGCCATTTTTAATCTGTTCCTCTGGCTTCCAAAAGATTGCCCACTCTTGATTTAAGAAGATGCACAGCTCACCAAAACTGCAAGTGCTTCTTGTGATTACCCACCTTGTACATATGCTTAAATATCAGCTTTTCCCAATCTGGATGTGTGGATTTTTCCCTTCCTGATGTGTGGATTTTTATTTACCAGAATTCCCCAGCCAACTTACCAACACAGCCATTCCTGAGAATTCTGAAAGTTGACATCTAGAGACCTGGAAGGTGCTCAAGAGTTGTGCTTGGATTTCTACAGCTTTTGACAGCCTTACAATGAGCATTTTGCATAGGAATGTTTCTTTCCTTGCCAATAAAGATTAAGTTCTGAGAAAGACAAACAAATTAGATTATATCAACGCAAATTTTATGGGTACCCTTGGCCCAAGATCTGTAATAATAGGTGCTTCCTTCTGAATTGGTGCCTATAGCAAAAATAAACAGCAATATTAGCTTTGTACCTCGTAGCACCCAACATTTTCAATTTTTTTGCTTGATATGAAATGAGCGAAGCCTTAGCAAAATGTAATAACTGTGTAACATACATTTCCTAAGGAAAAAAACCAGCAAATGAGAATTACTTCCTCCAAAGCCTCCAGAGAGCTGATGCCAACTGGACAGTAGGGGGCTAAATGGAAAAAATAATTTGACCTGTGGAAGGCTGATTCTTTCACATTTCTAACAGCTACACATTTATTGCATGGAAAAATGGTCTGGAAAAAGTTTGATGTTTTTTGTCTCTGAATGGCTTTCCTCCTCAGATTTATTTTTTTCAGTGCTGCCTTCTAATTCAGTGTTTTGTCTGGCAGGATAAATTCTACAGAAAGGCAGCTGAATGGATTCCAGAATAGCCTTAATAGTGCTACATCCTGTGAGCCACTTGCAAACTCCACAGGTGAGAGAACTAGGGCTCTCTGCAATCACTAATTTCTTCAAATGCTGCCTTTTGTTTCACTTTTGCATGAGAGTATATACTCTTTAGCTATCCTATAGCAAGGTTACCTGTAGGACAGATAAAATCTCCATGATGTGACCTGGAAAATACTAAGAAAGGGTTGATTGCTTCTGAACAGGAAGATCTAGGAAACGTGCCTTCACTGCAACATTTTAAAAGCAAAATCTAGAAATGATTAAAGGAGAAGTGATTAATGAAAGAAACGTATCCATGCTATAGAAAAAGGGTGATTCTATCTCACATTCATCAGAAAGAGCTGTGGCATCTTATAATAGACACTTGTTTTGCTGTGCAGGTTTTTTTCCCCTTCTATTTTTAATGAAGTAACCATTCTACTTAAAAAAAAAAGAAAACATTAATTTCATGTTTGCTTGCACTGAATTCATTTAAGAATTGGGACCACCTTTTTCACCCATGAAAAGGACCGATACCAGTGGAACCTTCAAAGTAGCTTGCTTTTCTTTTTGGTGCCATATTAGTGGGTGTTGGGTTTCTCATGAGGCTCTTACCAGTTTTCTTGGGATGTTGATAAGGGGAGAGGCTTCAGTGCCAAGAACAAAAATAGTCAAGGGACCTGCCTGAGGCTAAGCCATTTTTTCCATTTTCCAGGTTTCTTGGAAGCTGGCCCCCAGATTATATTCGCCAGAGCTAGACCTTTGTACAGCCGAACCTGTGCCATTGACACAATTGTAGGGAAAGGAAAGAAAAGGCCAGAGGAGGGAGGGCCAGCTTAAGGTAACAACAGGCACCTCTGTTTCCCCCAAGTTTTCCTTTGGTAATGCTGTAATTTTCATAGTTATACTGGGGAAAAAAAAGGAGAGACCTCTATGCAAAAATCTCATGAAGTGAAAGGGAGAAACTAAGCATAGTAAATGGTTGCCACAAGTCTGTTCATAAATGCTATTTCCAAGGGTAGAGCGCTGTAAGAAGGAAATAAAATCTGTCTGCCTTTCTGCTGTAGATTTCTGAGCTAAGCAGTCAGGATCTCAAGTTGTAGTCAGGAAAATAAATGTTCATTATGATTTTTGACAAGGTCTGAGTTTGTAAGGATGGAAGATAGGTAACAGCTTGACATAATACCTAAGCTTCTCTTTGTTATCTTTTGTTCAGCCATACTCTTAATTTGCCTTAGGTAGAATTTTACAATGGTAAATTCAAGCCCCTTAATCTGGTGTATTGAAAACTAAAGGAAATGCCAATCTAAATAACTGATGTTATAAGCAGTTTTTGGTGTGTTTATATAATGACTAAGGTTTCAAAATAAATCCAGGAAATTCTGTAATTTTCTTAGTGCCATTTTAATCTCTTTGTGATAAGAAAATGAACGTAAGGGTACATTTCCTTTCAGCTGGAAATGCATCATCAGTACTGTCCTTAAGTCAGGGCGTGAAAGAATCCACAATAGGAATCCCTAGAGTTTCTGCATACTAACAGTAATTTGTCCTGCAGAACAGCAGTGCCATTAATACCTTCCTCATTTTTGCTCTCCTGCTTGTATCTGCCTTACTGTAATTAACTGTACAAGTTGCCTTAACTTTGAAACATCCCTTCAAATGGTACCTCAAGTGACCCAGCCTTAGCTTTAGTTTTACATGGATGTGAGATACTACACTGCGAAATACCTTCTTGTGAATATGCCTCGTTAGCAACAACAGAGAAATGAGACTGTCATTAGAGTAATTGTTTATGACCCACACTTTCTGGGAATTCTTTGTTCATGTGGAATAATTGCATCACAGATGGGCTTCAATAGCTGTCAATGTAGGGTGGACGCATACTGGGCCAGTCAGTGTAAGCATGCATGCAGCTCCACCATTTGTTTTGACCCCACTCACTGACACTGATAATTCCCTGCAGATTCCTAAAGAATGGAGTAACTCTATAATAGTCCCAATAAAAAAATGTCCAATAAAAAAAGTCCCAATAAAAAAAATCATCCAATCAATTTGATGTGCAGAATCAGCAAACTGTTTGCAAAATATCTTTATCAAAAGTTCACTGACTGTATGAACTTAGAAAAAAATCTTAGTTTGGACCACCTGCCAGTGAAGTGCACCAATCTATCAGGAGGCTGTCCCTGTTCTTCCTTTGTAGACTTGAAAGTGGCATTTGACTCAATTTCTTGAGAGACACCATGGCAACATTTGGCAGGCAATTTCACTAATCATTATCTTCTCTGACTAATCATGATGCTGAATGAGAACACCCCTATTGCAGATTACATGTATGAACAAAGGAGAATTGACTGTACCTATTCCAACCTCCGAAGGAGTCAAACAGAGATGTTTATTCATATTTTGAATGATTTTATGTACATATTTGATTTATATCTTGCCTTTCATTCAGGAGCTTAAGATGGCAAAACACTCCCTCCTTTTTCCCCCCACAACTATTACCCTATAAAGTAGTTAGACTAAGAGAAAGTGATTGGCTCAAAGTCACCCAGTGAGTTTCTGTGGCTAAGAGAGGGCTTAGAACTGGATGTCTCTTCTAGTCCAAGGCCTTAATCACTATGCGACACTATGCTCTCTATCTTTATAATGCTCTCTATCTTTATAATGACTCCATCTTCTCTCTAGGTCAAATCACTGTAGTTTTTCCTCACCAGTAGTTGCTCTTTCCCCCTTGTCTATTCCTTTTCAGATTTATGAAGCTTTTTCTGAGATTTGAAGATAGTATTCCAGATGTAGTCTTTTATGGCAGTGCCATCTATCAAACAATGCCACCTATCAAGAGTCAGGAAGTGTGCCTTCTCTGTCATAGCACCTGGCCTCTGGAATGGTATTTCCACCATCACCTCCTTCCCAGATCTTTTGGCTCCCAACCTGATAATATTCAAGAAGTCTTTAAAAACTTAGCTGTTCTCCCAGGCCTTGGGGTAGGATGCTTGTGGAGCCCCTGTCAGTTGTGTTTTTAGTTATAGGGAACGTGTTTGTCCTGACACATGAGAGTTTCTTTTTATTTTTTAGTGTAAGCTGCCAGATTCATTTTGGAAGTGGTTGGCCTTTAAATCTCATCAATCAGTCAATCATAGAGTTATATAAGGACATTGCTGTATAGTCAGTAGTACATTCAGTTCTTTTCTTAATGATTCCAAGTTTAATAAATTAACAGATCTGTTGTGGTAGAAACATTCATGAACTAAAACCTATTTTATCTTATATATGAATCATTATTCTCTGTTGGCAAGTATATACTCGTACGTAGACAAGGACACATTCAGGGGGATATATAGAGAAAAAAAAATGTAAATAGTACTGTTGCAAGGTATCAGTGGAAACTCCCTGCCTGATAGGCAAATGCCAGATGAGAGACAGACTTTCTTCAGCACAGTAATGTGGGAAGAAAGAATTAAACTCACTTTCCCACAGGGAAAGCTCCTGATTCTGTTTAGTCACTTTCATGTTTTGCAATTGAAATAACAGAAGTCAGGCACATTAAATACACTTGTTTCAGCAGAACCTTTCTGCAAATTAATGTTATATAAAATGAATTTCTCACAATATATGCTATACAAAATATATACTATACAAAACTAATTGTCACTGAATAGAATAAAAGCTTTCAAAAGTTAATTTACCTGAGTTCCCTGGAACACCGTTATGTATAATATTGCAGTTTAGAACAGGCATATTCATTATCTTGTAATTTTCATTATTTATTTTAAATTGTAACTTAGAAAAGATTTTGCAACAGTGCTGGTTGATAGAACAAAATGATACCTGACCAACAAGTCTTCATTAAAAAATGGCAGATGGTAATTAATAACAGCAAAATAAATATGATATTATATAAGTCGGAAAAAGATTAAGGCTACAATATAATTGATCAATGCAACAAAATCACTTGGCTGAATCAATTAATCTTTTATTTAAGCATTGCATTCATTTGGTTTTAATCTTACTTTTTAAAAGTTTTAAATTTAAATTGGATTTAAAATTAAATTGGATTAAATTTATTTACATTGCCCCACTGTTGAAGATCTTGAACATGGACAATCATAGAATTATGGAGTTGAAAAAAAAAATCAGATCCATCAAATCTAATCCTTTGCTTGATGGGACTTCCGGTGAGTAATGGCCGCATGCTAGGCCCTCTTTTTCAAGTGGAGAGTCGTCTTCACAGACTTTTTTAGGCTCAGGCAGGCTCCTGGAGCCTGAAGAATTCTCCAGATCCAAGGAGAATCCTAGAAATTGTCCCATACGACCTCCAGACAGCCTTTCACAGCCAGAAGACCTTGAAATGGAGACTTTTGGGATCAACTGATGAGTGATCAGCTGGGAGGTGGGGCTACCAGCAAGTTCCAAGCTGCGAAGAAGCCGGGAAAAAAAACGGACACTTGCGCTGACCTTCTCATTTCCAAAATAACTTTTGTTTTTGTTTTTTACCTCTATAGGGTTAAAGAGAGGCTTTCTTTAGTTACAGTGTATTTTTTCCTTTTGGCTGCTATAGGTGCTTCATGGAAAGATTTACATTCTTTTTTTATTAGGGTAAATAGTTTTGTATATTCAGCAAAAAAGGCAAAGGTGTGGACTTTTTACTAATTTTTAAGAAACAAGAGAAAAGGAATTCTTTTTATTATTATTTTTTTCCTGGCGAATCTGAGCTTGGGTTTTTGATATTGGAATGTGGATATGGGAACTGTGTGAAGTCTGCTTAATTCTTACTTAATTGGCCCTGATTAGAGAGGAATTTTAAACAAGATAAAGAGACTCTCTCTCTCTCACTATTACTTTGGATAGAATGTAATTTGTATTTTTGACACTAGAGAGCGGTATTGATCACGGGTATTAGGAGAGCAAGCTGCAGGGATGAGCGTTTCAAGATTATGTTTCAAAACTTTGCAGGAAAAATAATTCAGTCACTGGAGGATAAATTTGACAATTTGAACAAGAAACTCGATTCTAAATTGAATGAACCTGCTATTGATGTGAGGTCAG